CAAGTTCTTGGTTTGCCTCTTTCTGGCTTAATTTAGCTGTGACACTATCTTTAGTGATTTGAGTGTTTGCAACGCAGATCATTTTGCTCCTGTTCTCCATTTTAGCTTCTTATTGTCCAAGTAATATGTGACCTCCTTATTTGTTATTCCCAGCTTGCACTATGTTCAATTTGTCAACATTGAAATTCCTTCAACCCTATCAATACTCATCCATTTCCGCCTGCTTGATCAGCCGTCAAATGTTCTTTCAATTTGTTCATGAGATGAGGGTATTGCTGGCTAGACCTGCATATATTGCTCATACCCACTATGAAGGAAGATATACCAGTTAAAACTCAATGAATAAATAGCTCAAAGGACTCCAGAGGTGCAGTGGTAGTGTCCCTAACTCTGGTGCTAGGAGGCCTGATCCAGAGGTATTCCATATCATCTCTGAACAGTTTGATTAAGACTATCTACAAGTAGCTCCAGGCTCAAGGGGAAAATGTCCCATGCAGCATTGAGCATTGCTTGTATTTTATCAACCTGTAGGTTCGTCCTCATTCCAAGTTTCAACCCTGCTGATAAAGAAGCAAAGCTAAGGATGGAATCATCAGAATTCAACAGTCAAGTACTGTGTCACTGTCAGCCCCTTTAATCTTGTATGTATTGGTATGTTAAAGCCTCAAGAATGTATGAAATGTGAGGAGTAGACCACTTGATCCATCGGAGTTGCCCCACTGTTCAGTAAGATCATGACCAATCAGGTTGTGGCTAGGGCTGGGGAGGGAAAACTTTAAGAAAAGCCCCAGGGGTGTTAGGGTCATCAGAGTGGAAGGGAAACACTCCCATCCTTCCCCCACAGGAATGATTGTGGCTATTTCAGTCTCATGTCTCCATCACTGAGTATTTGAAGAGCCTTTAGTAGCTCTCTGATTCTGCTTGAGGAGGCTGCCCCCTACTGTCAGGCTGTGAACCCAGCAGGGGACCCATGTGGTACCTGGTAAGTTCCATTGATGAAGGCAAACAGCCTTGATCATGGCCCTCAATTGCAATAAATGACCACTCACCTCCATGGAATGGATTGACTAACCAAACGTTTTTGGCACTATGCTCTGAGTTCCAATGCTACAGTCTCTGGCCCCTCGCCCTCAGCCAAGCCTGAACTCTCTACCAACACTGCATCACCTCTTGGATGGGATAGGTATGGAGGGATATGGACCAAATGCAGGCAAATGGGACTAGTTTAAATTGTGAAAACTGGGCAGCATGGACAAGTTGTGCTGAAGGGCCTGTTTCCATGCTGTAGACCTCTGTGACTTCAGTCTTGGCCAGATCTCTCTTTCTGACCCTAACATGAATTTGAATGCAAGCTGATCTAGCCTGAAACTTGTTGATGCTGACAATCCACAGTCACACAATTGGCAAGGCAAGCAGCAATAAAAGAAGAAGAAGGAAGGAAAATAGAATGGAAAAATTGAGAGGAGAAAACAGACTGGAGAAAGAGAAGGCTGTGATTTTAGTAATGGACCAAAAGAGAAGGGAGAAAGCAAAAAAAAAGGGAGCTAGAGGAATTGTAAATGATGTGAACTTTTATTCCCTTACAAGAAGTTCTGTGCTCATCTTTGAACATTTCCACTAAATCATCATTTATAATTGAGTTGAAAATACACGTTGCAAACCCAGTCTTAATTTCTAATGTATTCCCTCTCAATAAACATAGGGAATGAGTTTCCTTTGTATGTTTTACTTTCCTATTCAGCACACATTCCCATTAGACATTTGTTTGTCAAATGTTAAATGTTTTATGGGCATCAGCTTCATTAAAATGGACAATCACGAATTTTTGTCTCAAGCGGTCACCACTGGGTGCTGCTAATAAGATGTACAAAGCGGGACTCTGTATAATTGTTAAAGGCTACAAGATGATTTATTGAATCACATGTAGGTTATTTACTGGCCTATGTTGAGCAATGTAGTTGCAGTGTGATTTTGTTTAAAATTACGGAGAGCTCAGTAAGAAGGAGAAACATGAAAGTTTTTCCCCCTTGTTTCCAATTCTCAGACTCGACCTCGATTGACAATTCACAAAGGTTTGCGCAACCAATTATTTCTTCTTGTCCTAGTCCCGTTTTTCAGGAAATGCTTTTCTTTCGTGTGTTTTCACTGGATGAAATAGATTCCAGGGGAAAAAAAGTATTATTTCAAGGATACGTCATGCAATGAATAACCAAAAATGGCTGTACTTTACAGAGAAAGATTTTCAATTCCATCTGAAGAACTTTCCTCAAAAGAATGTATACTGTTCCTACAGAACTGGACTGCCCGAACTCTATCCTGAATCACCCAATACTACCTGTCCTTCACATTCACTCAGTTATAGGTTCCAAGTTCAATACTGTTTCGAGGCTGGAGCACAAAAATCAAAGCTGACGTTCCAGAACAGCGCTGAGGGTGTGCACACACTCTGAAGTGCAGTCTTTTGGATGAAATGTTAAGAATACAAATCATAGATTCTCCCTACAGTGCGGAGGGATGCCGTTGAGCCCATCAAGTCCACACTGACCCTCCGACAAAGCAGACCACCCAGACTGACCCCATCCCTGTGATGGCTAACCCAACTGGCCTGCACATCATGGGCAATTTCCCATGGCTAATCCACCTAATCTGCACATCTTTGGATTGTGGGAGGGAAGCAGAGCACCCAGAGGAGACCCACACAGACTCGGGGAGAATGTGCAAACTCCACCCAGACAGGGTGGAATCGATCCTAGGTCCCTGGCGCTGTGAGGCAGCAGTGCTCAACACTGAGCCACTGTCCTACATCCTGTGAAGGAATTGAAACAAGAGGGAGATGATCAGCCATATCTTGAAAGTAGACCAAACTTGAAGTGTTAAATGGCCGATTTCTGAACCTATTTCTGAAACCATTGTAACAGCCACATGCAAAATTCTATTAAATCTTTCCGTTTGTTTGGATTATGAATTCCTTCTTCCAGTTCCCTCCATCTGAAGGTGCCTTCTTTTGCTGAGTTGCCATGGAATACCACACTTACATGTGTTTAAAGCTCCAAGAAAATTAGTGTAACACACTGGACAACCTTTTTGAAAAAGGTAGCCCAGCAGTTACCTATTAAAACAATAATAGCTGAAAAACATTTCAAGCTTTTGCAAACATTTGTCTGTTTTAACGGACCCCCTTCTAAACCAATTACAGTTGTAACAATTTTAAAAAATCACCCATGAAATTACTTTGAAAACAACATTTAAAAGCTATTATGGCACCATCAGTGTAGAATAGCACATTCACGTAATCACAGGAAGGTGCAGTGAAGACAGGTTAAAAACAGAATTACGAGGGAATTAGTTTGATGTTACTTCGGACCGTTAGCAACCGCAGGTCAAGTGGTTTAATCAGTACCATTGTCTGTCATAAACTAAATCATTCAGCACGTTTTTTTTTCACTGGGGAAGCCATGGAATGCCTTTCGTCTTAACTTTTTGATGTGCTTTTCTATTGCCGTGGAGGCAGAATTTCCTTTGCAAGACCAAAGAAGCAACAAAAGAACCTGCTCCTGAGGGAGATGAGCTGTTAGAAGGGAAAGTGCCTTCCAAGCTTGTTTTAAAGATGAAACGGTTTGCAAGTCTGATCAGTGCATGGCTGATCACTATCAAATATTAATGCCTTATTAATAACATTTTACTTTCTACCTTTGACTTCTCTGTGGACTGCCTGCCATTAACTTTATTCGCTTGTGACAAAGTGACTAGTGTCTACTGTCTGCGCTGTAATATTGATTTTCTGTTGTTTTTTAAACCATAATTTATAGAGGTTGAGGGTTCAAACAGTTTCCTGCTCAGATTTATTGCCCATTATTTGTTGCAGTGAAGGAAATGGGTATGAGTTGCAGAATAATTATAGGTCAGTATTGAATCTAATAGAAGTGTTATGTTTTGCAAAAGAAAAAGGGCAGTACTTGTGTTTAATATTCTTTATGAGTGCGATCTTGTTATGATTCAGAGACCCTGGGTGCAGCAGAATCTATTGTATTAACAATAGAGCTGAAAAAATACATAAATTCAGATGCTTCAAATCGTAAAACAAGGGCAGAGAATGCTCAAGCTGGCCAGTGACAGTACAAGAGAAAGTGGGCTAGATTTTAAATTTGCCACCAAACTGTGGGATGTTGCTTTGAAGACTGGGCGCCGACACCTACACAGACACATGCGGCGCGCGCACACACGCACACTGCAGTGGTCGAAAAAGGCAGCTCACCACCACCTTCTCAAGGGCACCTAGGGATGGGTAATAAATGCTGGCCCAGCCAGCAACACTCTCATCCCACAAATGCATAGAAAAATACACACTCTCTCACACTTCAATTTCCATTCAAGCTGGTGCAGAGACAAGATTGAGGGAGGAAATTCCACAAAGTAGGACAGAGGCAATTGAAGATGTGCTACCAATGACCTGGGTACGTGGAAAGGGCACGAATGGAAAGGCCAAGTCAGAGGAGCAAAGGTTGACAGAAATGATGAAGGTAGTGTTAGCAAGGCTACTGAGAAATCAGCAAGGACAAGGATATTGACTTGAATATGTTGTGGACTAGGAAGTGAAGTCAATGGATTTAAAAGCCAGGAAAGACTCAAAATGGGTTTCTGATTCCTGTTTTTGTGCTATTGCTCAAAGTAACATGTCATCTAGATTGGAGGCAACCAATGAATGAGACAAACCAGGGAGCAAAGCTGCTGCCTGGGAGTAACTCTCTGTACAAATCCTTGCAGATAATTGAGGATATGTGCAGATAAATACCTTTATGATGATGGGGAATTGCATGTAAAATAAAAACGGTATTCATTTTTATTTGTGCCACTGGTATTTTGATTTTAAGTAATGGGGAGAGAATTGATGCTGTTCTGCAGCAGCCTTCAGCTGGGAATATTCAAAATTGAGTCTGTTTGGAACAGTTATTTTGTTTTTTGTGTTTGAGAGAATGATTTGAGTTTTTCTCTTTCTTTTCAGATGCATCATCCTATTCAGATGAAACCTGCTGACAGTGAAAAATCAAATGGTAAGTGAAGCATTTGCCTTGACTAATGGGGGGGGTGCGATGTTCTTGCAATTTTTTTTTAAATGATGTTTTGTAGTCCCCTTTCCTCCTGAGGGTAATAACTGTAGGGAAGTACTGTTCCATGAGTTTTGCATTATGACAGAATAAATAGGAGGAGGAACAGTCTAGATATTTCCCAAATAACCTGTTCATTGATGTTATTGCACACCTCTGGAGCAGTTAGGTCTTGAACCTCGATCTCCTGGCTCCAAGGTAGGATCGCAACCACTGCCCCACAAGAGCTCCCCCTGCAGGAATAAGTTATAGCAGTCACTAGAACCTGCTGCACTTGCCCATCCATTCCCCATATCATTTGACTTTCATGAGAGATCACGAATCTGTAGATCTCAGTCTTAATCGTATTAAACCATGGAGCATTCCCAACTCTCTCAGGAAGAGAATTCCACAAATGTACAACCCTTTGAGTGAAGAAATGTCTCCTCACCTCAGCCCTAAATGATCAACTCCTTCTCCTCAGTCTATGGTCCTGTGTTTGAGATTTCCCAGCCAGAGAAACAACCTCTCGGTGTTCACCTCATCCAGCCCCTTTCAGAATCTTGTATGTTAAATGTTGCCACCCCTTTTCCTTTCTAGCCTTTCCTATCTTTCCTGAACACCTTATATCCAGGAATACTTAACTCCCAGTCCTGCTCTGTTTCTTTTTTAAAAGCCAGGTCCCTATTTTAACTATATGGCTACTTGCACATGCATCTCTCCAACCCTATTTCTCACTTTTTGTACACCTATATAAATGCTCTGTAAACCTCAGTTTGGAGTTGCTGTATTCCGTGTTGGTCTGAATGCAAGTAATACTGCACTGTTTCTACTCCAGTGCTCTCTGTCTTTGGTTTTAGCAACATAATAGTACTTCACTAGTTAAGATTGTATACCCTAGCATTTAGGAGATAAAGGTCTGATTTGATTGAAATTTTCGTGCTATGAAAGGGAGCTGATATAGAAAAAAAGCCTATTTCTGCTGTTTCAATAGTCTAGGGCTACAAGTCACAGTCTGAAAAATTAGAAATGGACCTTTCAGGGGTGACAAGCAAAAAATACTGGAGAAACTCAGTAGGTCTGGCAGCATCGGTAGGGAGAAAAACAGAATTGATGTTTAGAATCCAACGACCCTTCATCAGAACTTTTAGACATGAACTTAGGAAGCACCTCTAAACTCAAAGAGGAGTAAAAGTTCGGAATTCTCTCTTTTGCAAATGGAGATTGATGCTAGATCACTTGTTAATTTTAAAAGTGAGATTGATGGACTTTTCCTTAGCAGAGGGGTGAAGAGATATGGGACCACTTAGGACACAGATCACCGATGATCTCAATTAATAATGGAATAGGCTTAAAGGACAGAATGGGCTCCTCCTGTTCCTATGCTCATCTCCAATGAGTGGTTGTGGACTTTCAGTTTTGCAGGGAATCGCAGACAAATCCACCTCATACTTGACTTTGATACCTGCATGCACACCTCACGAATCAACACAAGATCTCAATGAAACATTTCTGATTCTTAAGGGGCTTGACAGGATAAATGCTGAGAGGATGTTTCCCCTCATGGGAGAGTCTAGGGCCAGAGGGCATAGTCTCAGAATGAAGGAGAGCCAATTTTGGACTGAAATGAGCAGGATTTTATTTTTTCACTGGGGATTGACAGTCTTTGGAACTCCTTGCCACAGAGAGCTGTGGGGGCAGAGTCCCTGTGTATATTTAGAGTTGAAGTGGATTCTTGACCAATCGGGGAATGAAGGGTTATGAGGAAAAAGCAGGAAAGTAGGTGTGAGGAATGTCAGATCAGCCACAGTCCTACTCAGTGGGTCAATCAGGCTTCAGGCTTCAGGGGCTGAGCAGCCTACTCCTGTTCCTGTTTCTTATGGTCTTATGGATATTGATTATTGATCAAGAACAAAACCTTGCACAGTTTGTTTTTCCTTTAGCCTAGATCAGAGGCGCTGAGGCCATCTATAGCACTGTATTCTACAGTCAATAATTCAGAGGCAGGATTCAGGCTTGGCACAAGGGCAGTCCATAAATAAAATGTGACCTTCGTATACTGAAAAGATGGGATGAGTTTGGCCAAACTGACCGCACATTCTACTTCCTCTCTTTGGAAATACTAGTTTAAAATAGACTTAGGTGATGCCCCCTGCACATTTGGTACAAATGGATTCAGGACAATTAAATGAGTCTTTGAAGAAACTAGGTATTGAAGGATACAGTAGAGTTGATATATGAAGATCAGAGAGCTTCCTGCTGTCTAATGCCATTGTCTTGTTCCTAAAAAGGCCCGACCACTAATTTCCTCATGTGTTAAGGCATCCTCTTGATGTGAAAATGCAGGTGGAAGCACCACATCTTCTTTCATAGCTCCTGATGTTACCGTTGTGCCTCATTAATTCGCTAAACAATTCATAAGTGGTCTAAGATGGCACCCACCCTTGCCCCTAACATTGAGCCTGTGAATGCACGATGACTAGCACTTTTGAGGCAATCCTACTGGGTATTGTGGGCTCCATTTGGGGCAAGCATGATCAGACACAGAACATAAAACTGATCCTAATTTGGCATCAGTGGCCAAGGTCACTCTGAAAGGTATACAGTCGTGAGTGCAAAACCGTCTACCACTCTTAACAGGATCTTGTGCATTTGGCCAAGTTCCATGTCTTAAGTAATGGTATGAAATTTCTTACCAAAGAGGCTTCCTTCTCTAGTCTGAGCCTTACCCTGTGCATATGGCACTCTTCCAAAGATGACACCATGTGATAGTGAGGAAAGACTGTAGAGTCTTCACTGAGTCTAATTGATTCTTTTGGAATATAATTATGTTGACTTGACCCAGTGCTCTTTGTACGGTACTGATGAATCTTTCATTTCACAGTTGACGATTGTGTTCAGAAGTTGTCTGTCACTGATTCTCAAGATTGCAAGTCGAACTGTGAGAGAGCAAAATCTTGACTTTGGCGATAAGGGACGCTCTCATTTATCTTGAACCAATTTCAGAATGAACATTGTGGCCTTCGAAACAATATATTTTGAGATGTTTGATAAATAATATTTCAGTTTCTAAGACAAATGACACCCAAGAAAAACAGTTTTTGAGTAATAGTAATTATAGATTAAGTTGTCATAAAAATTCATAATGAGTGTGCTTATGAATTTTCAAACTGTAATTAAATGCCATATGCTGACATTAACAAGCAGGAAGCTGGTTAATTAAATGAGACACTTTAGGAGCTGTTTCTACAACGACTGATTACTTGTTGGAGTCAGACCAGCCTTTGTATCTAAGGGTTTTGGGGAATGGAAACAGTGGAACAGGTAAATACCGTTCTCCTATTTCCACCAATTACAAACAATGTAGAGACAGCACAGCTGATGGAGAAGTTTAAACCTTTACCAAAAACATTATTGTTTTAGCTCAGTTGACAAGTGTACTGCCAGGTGTGGGACTGAGCTACGTCGGTCAACTCAATCTCCATTCCAGTTAAGCAGGACAACCAAACTAAAGTGCTGATATTGGGTATTACATTTATATTACGTTTATTTTGTAATTTTGATAAATATAATAAGAAGGTAAAACATCAGCCCTGCATATGACTTGGCAACAGCTTTGAATTTGAAAGCCTGAGGTTTCCGGGAGAAAAAGATGACAAAAGGAGGTACAGACATCACACACTAAGGTCTAAAGAAATAATGACTGAAAGTTGGAAGCAATGTGCATGTTGATTCAACATCGTGAAATCAGGGATCAAAATCAATTCTTTATTAACTGTTTACCTTCCCATGGAAACTTTTAATCCTGTTGATTGTCTGTGCATCAGTTGGATAAATTGTTACATTTAGGACTGCACATTGCCCTTAGGATAATGTATATGTCCCAAGAATGTAGTTTTGTGATTCTCTGGTGGTAGTCATTTGCCTGGGATTCCTTTCAAACAGTAATTCATTGCATGAAGTGCAAGAAATCCTTTGAATTGTTTTGGTCTCAAGGACACTACATAAATGCAATGTTATTACTGTACACAAGTATAATTTGGAGCCTGTGGGACTATGTTTAGAATAACTTTAGAGCTAGGCTTCATGTGACGGAACAGGCTCTTGCTCTCTGATCACTTTGACAGAAAAGGATTTAACTCATTTATGGACTGAAGGGTATAGCAATGTCTTTCATTCAACGCAGAGACCTGAAACCTTACCTTGTCTTCTACTCACTTCAACATTTTCCCCTTTCGTCTTGGGTTTTCATTGACGAAACAGACTTTATTTTCAACTTGTGCTCTGATGGTTTTGTGTGTATTAGTTACATTCAGGAAGTTTGCTGCTATCAACAAGTAAGAAGCAAGAGAAAAAAATGACTGTTTTCGACGACTTATGACTGTGATGCTTCATAAATAAATACATGGAGCTTTGAAAACAGAAGCAGATTTTAATCTTAAATAGGCAGGAAAATACTTGAAAGTATTCCAGTCCAAAAATGTATGGTGGCAATTGGCAGTGTACAGAAGGTAGCCCTGAAATGCAGAGAAAGTGGAAAGTTAACCCCAGAACTTGGAGTCAAGCTCAATGACAGCTAAATATCTCTCGGTTCCCAGCATGGTTGACCTTTATTCAGCCCTTAAATTAACACAATAATTGGAGCAATTCGCCCAAGATCACAAAATAGATTTCCACAAAGCACTTTTCGGTCAAATTGATTGATGCTCCTCCAACCAGATTCATAATCTATCTCTTTCACTCAGTGTGAGGTTTTATTTATTACCCAATTCTGTGAACTTGAGTCATCTTGTTATTCATAAAGTGTGAGATGAATGCAAGTTAGGTGTAGTTCTTAGGGATAAAGGGATCAAAGGTTATGGGGAGAAAGCAGGAACAGGGGACTGATCAGCCATGATCATATTGAACGGTGGAGCAGGTTCAAAGGGCCGAATGGCCTACTCCCTGCTCCTATTTTCTATGTTTATATGACCCATCAGCACCTTCTTGGCTCTTCAGTCCATAAATGAGTTAAATCCTTTTCTGTCAAAGTGATCAGAGAGCAAGAGCCTGTTCCGTCACATGAAGCCTAGCTCTAAAGTTATTCTAAACATAGTCCCACAGGCTCCAAATTATACTTGTGTACAGTAATAACATTGTTTTGAAATGTTTTTATTAACATCTTTATAGATTATTCATTGAATTGTTTCCCATGAACAAACCCCTGAAGAAGCAGAAACGAATTTAGTTCAAATATCATGTGAAGAATGACACCTCAAACAGTTCAGTACTTCCTCATTATAGCTATGAAAATTGTCATTATTAATGACTATGAATCACTGGCAGTATTCCATTGTAGATATTTTCTAATCAACCTGTTCAAAGATGTTATCGCATACTCTGGAGCAAAAGGGGTTTGAACCCGGATCTCTGGTTCGGGCATGTGAAGAGAGCGATATGCCTAATCAGTCCAAGGTTTAAGTCAAGTAGTTATAAAGAAGGCCAAGGGATAGGGATACCCTCTGTCTTTTGCATTGCTGCAGCTCAATTACTGATGTCTCTTGCAAGCTCTCTGTCTTTTGTTTGTGATCAGAAAACAAGATCTCTTAAAAGCTTTCTGCTTTGTGACATAAAGTGTCCGTGCTGGTTTTCTCTTTCTTCGAGAGGTTTCTGAAATACCTACCTGTTTGGCCAATCTTTTGGCCAGCTGCTATAATAGCTCTTGCGTGGCTCAGTGTTAACCTTGATTTGATCATTCTTGCTGTGAAGCAGCTTGGCATATTTGACTATGTTACACGTGCTATATAAATGCACAGTGCTGTTGCCAATAAGTTCCTAGCCACCTCTCCTGAAAGTGCTGACTCCTAGTAAGTGTTTTCCACAAGTGCCAGCCATGCTTTGGTATCTCTCTCTCTCTGTAATGGCCACTACTTTCATCTCTAGCCCCAGACTCTCTCGAAGTTCTGGAATGCTGCTGGTGTCTTCCACTGTGAAAACTGATGCAAAGTACCTATTCAGTTCCACTCCCATTTTCTTTTGTTCCCAATGACTACTATTCCAGCCTCATATTCTAGCAGTCCAATGTCCACTCTTATCTCCCAATTAACTTTTAAATATCTTCAAAAATCTCTTGTAATCTTCTTTTATATTGCTGGCTATTTTACTCTCGTATTTCAAATTCTCCCCTCCAATTGCCTTTTTAGTTATCCTCTGCTGGTTTTTAAAGATTTCCCAATCCTCTGGCTTCTCACTAATCTCCACCACGTTGCATGTTTTTCTTTTGCCTTTATGCTATTCCTGACTGCCCTTGTCAGCCGTGTTTGTCTCACCCTCTCCTTAGAATGTTTCTTCTCCCTTGGGATGAATTTCTGCTGTGCCTCCCAAATTACCCATGCTGCTTCATTGTCTTCCCTGCTAGGCTCCCCTTCCAATCAACTCTGGCCAGCTCCTCCCTCATGTCTTTGTAGTTACCTTTACTCAGTTGTAATACTGTTACATCTGATTGCAGCTTCTCTCCCTCAAACTGCAGGGTGAATTCTATCATCTTGTGGTCACCAATCCAGATGCATTTTCTGAAGTACTCATATTAAATCATGTCCCAAAAGTTTAAATCAGTCGTGTATGCTTGAAAATATATGAATTCACAAAAACTTTCTTGTATTATAAAGTTGATACAGTCTACTAGACGTAAGTCAGAAATTCCTTTTGTTAGAGTTAGGGCTGTATCTGAAGACTGACATCCATGGTGTTTTTATTTGGGCGAGGGGCAATGGTGATGACAGCACCTACTTTCCATGATTTAATTTGTTATTCAAGTTAACTCTGGCAGTAGCTCATAAACGCAAACAGAAATTGCTGAAAAAACTCAATAGGTCCGGCAGTATCTGTGGAGAGGACTCAGAGTTAGCGTTTCGAGTCCAGTGACCCTTCCTCAGAACTAGGTGAGGGGACAAAAGAAGCTGCTGACTTCTAGGACTGTAAGTGGTATCAGCATCGCCTTGTACTTACTCACCTCATCGCTACTGATCACTGAAATGTTACTGATGGAGAATGATTATCATAAGTTGCCACTAATGCCTCGCCTGCCTTTTCTTTTCTTCTCCCTTTTAGCTGTGGAAGACCGAAAGCTGTTCATAGGGATGGTTTCGAAAAAGTGCAACGAGAATGACATCCGAGTGATGTTCTCAACGTTCGGACAGATAGAGGAATGCAGAATTCTACGGGGTCCTGATGGATTGAGTCGAGGCAAGTGTGCAATCCATCCTGTCTGTTTTTACCTACCTCCATGCTAATTGGAGATATACGCCACAGTCAATAAAGTTGGGTGGTGCATCTTCCATTCAAAATGTTACTTCCAGTGTAGTGTTAACTTTCTCATTTCTTCAGGTGACATGTTATAAACGCAAAATGCTTATACCTATATCATGCCATGCTCTTCAGTTGTATTAGCATTAAACCTTGACTCTTACCATTACAGCTCCAGAAGAGTCATTTTACAAGTCAACTAGAAAATAATAAATTTTGTTTTACGTGCATTACCAAGTGATTTTAGTCCTATTCAAGTTCCCCAATTGTGGCATGGTTAATAACCTTCAGTCTTGTCACCAACTGAGATTTACAGGAGCAATTGTGAGAGTCATAAAGGGTATATAAATCTTAGTTAAGAATCACATCAATTTGCACATACTTCTGTGAATTTGAGGAAAGCCATAATGGTATGACTGTTAGGAAAAGGGTCCAATTTTAATTGCCTTCTCTATTCCCTGTGCCTCCCAACCCCACCCTCAAAGGACATGAGCATACAATAAACAGACACAGACACACAAAAGAAACAGGAATAGTTATAGTCACTTAATCATGGGAAAGACACTACTGCTTTTGAGAATACAAGAGAAAATAACATTCCTGAAGTGGCACTGACTTAACAAAAGCCAGTTAGGAATCTGCTTTATAATTTGCAGAGGGGCTTCGGTCAGGAGGATTGTGCCCAAAATGTTTAAGATTGAATGAAATTTACACCGCAGCATCATGTGCTTGTAACCAAGAGGGAGATGTGTTTTTCTGAATTGTTTTTCACAAAGTCCTCATCCTTTTTATCATTGTCTCACCTCTTTGCTGCCCCAGTTAATGAACATTCATGAAATACAGTGAGAGATAAGCAGATATTCGAAGGAGGTGAGACTCCTCCAAAAGCAGCAACACGGGGCTTGAAAATGTTTCCTTGCCTTCTGCTTATCGGAACATGTGTACAGCCCAACTAGAGCGAGCAAGGATCAAGAGATTGTCACAAGTATGAAAATTAAACAGATATTTTAGGAAGTGCCTATTGTTTGTACATAACAGCACATGGGGAATCTTTATCCCCCATCCCACCAACCTCTCCCCATAAAACTGTTTTTGGGAAGGCAGAATAAAGCTAGAAGCCCCAGTAGGTTTGAGCACAATTCTCTGGGAGGCTCTCTGTGTCTAATTGCACGCCATTTGTGCCCTGACCATTTTGCAAAATAACCACTAAGGAATTGTGCTCACCTATGCACTGTCTTTTTCTGATGCAGGGCATAACAGTAGTAGGAATGTCAATCTTAGATGACCACAGCTTGACAACAACTTGTACTTGAACCGGTGAAGTCGGAGAGGAGGAAGAGATCTGACGAGGCTGGTTGGGGCTGAGGCTGGACTTGATATTATTGATGATTCATGCTATAATAGGTTCAGTGCTCAATTGGTAAACTCCAATGAGTAAGCAGAAACAAACATCTAACTGACCCATAATACCTGCCAGTGTAGATAGAAGGGAATCCGGGTCCAGTGAGAGGATAGGAATGTTTAAGTCCATCATAAACACTGCAAGGACTCACTAACTTGCTGCATTTTCTGCTTTTGGTCTCCCTTTATCTCCATCTCATTCACTCAAGGCTATCATTGCAGCCAACTCTTGGCTTCTAAAGGGTCAATGGTAGGAGTAAAATAATTTTGGATAAAAAAGAAGGAAAAAATAATGGCAGCAATTGAGGTTTGGCATAAGCATTGTGCTGTCAGAGATGCTACGTTACTACCTTGAGAAGGCTGAGCCTGTTTAGTCAATAATTAATTCTAGATTAAAAGCGACAGACCAGTTTCCTCTTCTGGTTAAATGGACCTTAGCAGGTTACAGCTGTGCATTACCAAGTAACAGCAACCTTTTTAAAGCAAAACCTATTCTGCAGGGATTGTGCCCTTTCCCTGTAAGTTTTATAGGTCTGCACAGTGCGATGTTGTCTGTTTTTTTTTTCTGTTTCCCACTCTCAAACATGGAGGTAATTTAACATTCGAGTAAAGGATGGAGTTCTTCTGGTCCAGATGCAAAGGTAATAGATGTGTTAGGTGTGCTGTTTGACAGTGAGGTAAGTGTTTGCCTCTGATCATGTCAGACAGATGGAAATTACTTTCTGAAGCCTGACTGTAGACATAGATATTATTGAGTTGGAGGAAATGCAGAAATGATGCAAGATTGCGAATTTTAAAAAAAATTAAGTGAAGACTACTGTTTCCAATAGCCTTCTCTTGCCAGCCAGAAGATAACCAACACTGAATATTTAACAAGGCAACCTTGATATTAACCCTATCTGTGTACACTTCCAGTTCTGGCAAGACCAATTTATCAGTTATTTAGAGAAATGTAGAAAAAGATAAAACTGACAAGTTGTAACTTCATAGACATTTCCTCACAGATACCAGGAAGCTTCTAGAATTGTAAGTTTTTGCAGACACAATTAAATGAGTCCTGTAATTTTTTAAAAATTGATATGAAGTGAGATTAATTTGTAGGTATTTTTATACCTAGTCGAGTGAAAGGAGAAAAATATATTAAAATATGATTTAAGCTGGCAGGTAGCTTTCACACGCAGGTTGGATAGGTTCAAATAGAAGTCTTTAAAGTGTCTCCAACTCCCCACTACTCTTTGTCTGAAATATACTGTGAGAAACAGAATGTAAGTTAAGTGTTATCAGTCTGTCCTGCACCACCACCCCGCCATCCATGTGCATTGACTTGGCATTTCTCCAAAAATGGAGCTTGTTTTAAACACTGAAATAAAAATAAACATGAAAAATGTCAATTTATTTGTTAAAATTGGAAAACCATAAAATACTGGAGCAGAATTAGGCCATTCAGCCCATGTCAGCTCCGCTATGTGATTATGACTGATAGGTTTGTCAACCCCATTCTGCTGACTTCTCCTCATGACCCTTGATCCCTTTACTAATCAGGAACCTATCCATCTTTATCTTAAAGACACTCAATGGCTTCTTGTATCTGAGGCTAATGTTTGGTGGATCGCTCAAAGGGTGAGGGGTGGCTGGGTTCTGTATCCACATGTGAGAATCACTGTCTTGTCCCTTCTAAAGTTTCAACTACAAGCAGCTTCCTCACATCAAATTGTTCAGCCCATCGCCCCTTCACCCATTTTCCAAATAAAAGAAGGGCTTTCTATGCATTCAGCAGTCAGTCTGTCAATGCCAACGAACCATGTCCAAGTCGCAATATTTTATGATTACTTTGAAACAAAAGAAACCAAAATCCTGGAATTCCCTCCCTAATGGCATTGTGGGTCAACCCACAGCAGGTGGACTGCACCGGTTCAAGAAGGCAGCTCACCACCACCTTCTCCAGGGCAACTAGGGATGGGCAAGAAATGCTGGCCCAGCCACCAACACCCACATCCCACAAATGAATAGAAAAAAGAAACTGGAAAATGTGCATTCATCTCCAAGTTTACATCATTACTGCCTCTCTCGTTGCCTTCATTTAAGCTATTCTCCAGCCTTCTCCCCCTTTTTTCTCTCTCACCCAATCACTGATTCTTTGAAGCTCTGAAATTTCAAATATCATTACAGCCACGAAAGGTGAAATTGATTAAAATGCACAGTCTGCGATTTTTGTAAAGCATCATGGCTTTGAAATTATGTATTGCGGCATGAGTACGCAAAGATTTTCCAGGTGTTGGAAAATTTCCTTTCCCCTGACAACCAGAGATGAAGATTCATTGAAATATGTGGCAAATGAACTTCAGTTTTGTGTTTCAGAATTGTTACAGTTTATTAAAGAGTAAATATGGGCATTCCCACCTTCGTTTACAGCCAGACAGGATTACATGAAAATACAGATCAGAGACCGATCATTCAGCCTGACCAGTCTGTGCTTCACTCAAACCTCCGCCCAGCTTTCCTCATCTAAATCTACCGTTGTAGTCCTCTCTCTGTTTCTCCCTCTTAAGCTTGTTTGGCTTCCCTTTAAATGTATCCATGCAATGCTATTCACTTCAGCCACTCCCTGTGGTAAAGTGTTCCGCATGCTCACCACCCTTTGGGTAAAGAAGCTTCTTTGGAATTCCCTATTGTATTTCAGAATTCTTGGTCACTGTCTTGTATGGACAACCTCTAGATTTCCCTTCCCAGAAAGGGGCACCATTCTCTCTGTTTCCACTGCATGAAACATTACGGTTTCCAATTCCAGGCACAATGAACGATGAGTGAAACAGTGTTGTTATAAATTTTCAGCCCTCGCACCCAACACTGACTATAAGCTCCAAATAAATGGGTGACCAATCAGGATGGGAAGCTCATCTAAAGTGTCTTACGCCACCGAGACTGGATAGTGATGTTGAGAAATACAAGCTCAAAACATTAACTGATCTGAAGCAAAGGCAAGCCATGTGCAGCAGGACAGTTTGCAACTGAAAGATGAGAAGTGGGGTTTTATTTCCCTTGTTGAGAGTTTGTTGTACAAAGATTGGTATCTGAATGTTAACCTGTCCTTTCTCTTTCAGTTGCTGACTGGCCTGCGTTCATCTCGGAATGAGGGCTTGCAGCCTAGACATTTAGATTTCAAAAGAAACTAAAGCAGGTCATCTCTTGCCCGCCCACCCACCCAACCACTAAACCCAGTCGCGAAACACACATGGCCACATGTACAAATCTGGCTTACTCTTACTTGGTCAAAGTAAAAGCCAATGGGCAGTAATATTACGACATTGTACCTTTCGCATCGTAAAACATTCCAAGGTGCCTCACAGAAACAAAACGTGATACCAGTCCACTGAAGAAGAGCTCAGGACAGACAGCCAAAGGCTGGGTCAAAGACACAGGCTTAAGGAAGAACATGAAGGAGGACAGAGAGATGGAGACGTGGTGATGTTTAGAGAGGGTATTCCACAGGTGACCTCTTGTGTGACAGTAGAGCGATGAAATTCAGGGAACACGAAAGAGGCAAGAATTGGAGGAGCACACCTACCTTTGAGGGTGGGTGGGGGTGGGGTTGCTAAACGAAGTTAGAACAACGAGACCCAGGAGGGATTTGAAAATGACGATGAAAAGTTTGAAATCAACGTGGTGCTGGACAGGAATCACAGTAGGTTGGCAAACAGAAGCATTTTGCTGTTTCGTGTGAGTTGGATTGGGGTCAAATTTGGGGAGGTGAAACAAAATGAAATTTAAAACTAACTGTACAAGTCAAAATAGAATATAAGTCTGCCTCAGAGTGCCTTTTAAAATGGGTTATTGGTGAAAATGGTAATTTATAACCATGTGATTGTGTAAATGGTACAAATCTGAGCAGAATATAGTCATGCAAAGGTTGATATATGGCACAGTTGGATGGGATCATGTGTTTTGCCAAAACTTTTTCTGAATACTGACATGATATCAAAGGCACCCCTAAGGAGTCAGTCATTCCCGTGTGACACAGATGCCTCTGGTCAGACAAATTCCGATGTATAATTTTGGAAGGAGAACATCGCTTTGGCTCCATTCTATTCCCAACCTCACCTTTAGCATCTGAGCAATGCTCAACGCCCATCAGTCACTCACCTCTTCCACCCTGAGACAGCACACCATCAGAAAGATGACTGTGTGCAAACATACTAAATTGAAATGAACAGAAGGAAGCAGAAGCTGATTTTATTAAATTTACTTGATTCAGGGAAGCATTACGTGTTATTTTAGACTTACTCACAAAACAAAACTAGTAGCTAGCCTTTTCCTCCTCACCTGCAACCCCTCAGCCCACTCCATGTAGAAGTGTGGTTTGAGAATCTCGATGGAAGGAACAACGAGTCCGTTTAAACCACGGCAGTCAGCAGCAGTAGCTGGGATCCATGTGCACTGAGATCGGACAGCACAGTGAGTTCTATGTCGTCTTTCTAGTGCGACAGCTGTGTATGTAAAATGGTGTGTTGACCTATTTTCCTTTCTCTCGTGAGTGCATTAACCAAGGTGCTTTGGGGGCCAGCAGCAAAGGGAGGGAAGGCATGGCTTGCTCTGATTGCTCTTGGCTAAAAGAAAAATGCCACGTGAAAATGAAATGTTAAAAAGCTGTTGTATTTTTATGTACTACTGAGAACAGTGTCGTCTTGTGGCCGTTCTCGTAGAGTTGTGTTAGTTTAACAAGCGTCCAATCCTCTTGTCTTGTTGTTTTTTTTTGTCTCTCCTGCTCCCCTGTCCCCCCTTGTCCCCACAGGCTGTGCATTTGTCACGTTTTCCACAAGGGCAATGGCACAGAATGCAATCAAAGCCATGCACCAGTCCCAGACCATGGAGGTACTGTATCGTCTGCCCTTTACTTGTTTCTTTGTGGATATTGTAGAATGTGGGGAAGCTGCAGTATATAACATTGCAAAAAGGTCATCTCTCACTCCCAACTGTTGTAGCTTTTTCCAAGTTTTGATATGTGTGTGTGTGTGTGCGTGTGTATATCTGATAGCCGAAAATGCTACAATAATGCAAAGAGGTTATTGGCTGCATTTCACAAGTTCTTCCGAATATTCTCAAAGTACCTCCCAAGTTCCCAGCAGATGGATCGCGGGTCATGATGCGCACCTGGAATTTAACATTTACTCACCATTGTGAGAAGAGATGAAACCTTTTCTTCTGGGAGAAAAAGCAATATTCTTTCCCTAAAAGTCGAGGGTTGCTGAAGGAGCTCGCTTAACACGCTTCCCAAAGTGAAACTGCACAAAAAAAGTCTCATGATTTTCTCCCAAGACAAACCTGCAGAGCTAAGGGGGAAGAGTAATGAAGGGAAACTGGGTGTCAATCAAATTTCTTAGATATGTTACGACACAGTGTTGGAGTGGGCAGGACTTGAACCCTTTCCTAGCCCAGAGATGGGGGCATCCCCACTATATCCAGGTACTAAATGGATAATGTTTCCAAAGATCTGGCATAAATACAATGGATCAAATGGCCCCCTTCTGCATAGCCAGATTCTAAGAGCTGACCTCTCACCTGTGACCAGCTCACTGCTATCAGTCTGAGGAGTGCTGTCGTAAACCTGGGCTCGTGAGGGTAGAGCAGATTGACTAGGGAGCACAACCCTCCATTTGACAACAGTGAGCCTGCTTGGAGAAACGACCAAATTGGGATTGAGTGGGGCTTGACCATTGTGCCCACATTTGGATTTCATTATTAAGGGACTTGCCTACTCCATCAAAACCACTTAGTTATCAGAAGTCAGTCAGAGACCCTGCAGAGCTAAGCATCTCATGCACTTGCACAGAGGTGGAGTCTGTAAGCATAGAGGAGCATAAATGCTGTCTTAAAAGACCTCTTCATTCTTTTTCGTGCAATTGCAGTTTATTTGCCAAAAGTTGTGTGCGTGTGGATATCAGGTTGAGGGTATGGTCAGCCTCCACTGCGATGCCTTTGCAGTCAAATAGCCTGTTGTTGCTACCAAAAGCCAATTGCCTGCTGTCACTTTAGACATCAACACCCTGGGGAGAAAATAACTTGGGAGGAGCTTGGAAGTGATTTAGTGCAATGCGGGCTCAAATTGGTAATAGAATTTATTAGCCTTTTTAAAAGGCAAACCTACTGCTCACAATACAATGGGGCTTGCAAGAAAATATACTGCAGCTTTAACCAGGGTGGAATGTGTTGGGAGAAGGTAACTTCCTGGAAATTACAGCTTTATAACAATCTGCATATGTCTTCAAACACTGTTTAACCACAGGTCTTAAAGAATGTAGCGCATTAAAGTCATTAACTAACAACTTGTTGCACTCATTAAAAATAAGATTGACCTCTCTAATTGCTAAGTGGTGGCTGTGGTACTTAACTTAATCGCAAAGCAGATGTTGAAATCAGCAATGTCCTACTAAGAGACCAAAGGTTAAACATGTTTTAATTTGTTTTTGCTGTGTTTTTTGACCAAACCTCCGCATAACAGGGAATTGGCATCAAAAACTAAATCAACTTCTTTCTCATTCATGTGTTGTTTAATCTTTTGTGGTGGTTATGTTTTCCTGTACTTGTTTTTTTCTCCCCCATCCCCTTCTCCCTGTATATTCCGATATGAGCTATAAAGTCTGTTCTTTCTCTCTGCTTTTTAATGGTTGTTAAGGCATCTCGTTCAAGCTGCTAATAACAACATAGTGTTACCACGTTGCACATGGACTGAATTAATCAATTCATTTTTTAAATAGTTGCAAACAGCAAGAGGTCACTTATAAAAATGTATAAGTACATTGCAGGTTAAATTACTTTGCAAAAGGTGCAGTTCAGTTCCATTTCTTTCAATACAGTAATTGGCACTGCTTAAAATACCAGGTTATATCTATAATACAGATTTCATGTATAAAGCTGTGGTGCAGACAGTTGAAGGGGCCTTCCTCAGGTTCCAGCTCTTCCTAACTTTAAAAAGAAGCAATTGAATTTACCCACAGCCAGATGGGTTACAGCATCATACCACTCCCCAGCTTCCCATCCCATTCACACCTCAGACTGAAGTAGAAGATCAACAAATGCAAGTTGCATTTATGTGGCAACCTTAATATAGTAACTCATTTCCCAACAAAATGCGGCACTGAACCAACTCGAGGTGATGTCCTTAGCAGTATATTTAGAGAGGATCCTGCCAGATACGACCACCTAGCATTAATATTCAGACCTGCCAAAAAGGCGGTGAGATCAGTGTAGCTCCCACTAACATTCGCCCACCTCCGCAAAAAGCTGTTTTCCATTAGGTTGGCGAGAACAGGGATAAAATGTTAGGGCCTGAATTCGTTTTCTCATGCCCACTAGATTATTCCAAACATTTTACATCTGCCATATGCAGAGTTTCCTTCTGATCAGTGTGTTTTTTTTTCTTTAAATGTGTAAAAACTTGGTCATATCTGTGTTATGCTCACACCGTCCAATTCAGCTTTTATGTTATTTAAATCATTTAATAATAAACCAACTGCGCCAAGGTGTAGCATTCTGCCACAGCCCTGTGCAGCACAAGTGCTAGAAATAAGTGCCAGTGTCCTTGGAGTAGGTAGAGGTGGGGGAGAGGTGCTAACTGCTAAATGCCAGATGCTGTGCTGCTCTCACTGGTGGGGCCCAGGCGCAGAGGTTCCACACTCGCTTCGAGGTATTCGGCAAGAATTGCCCATGGAAGGTCAGCCCAGACTGAGTCAGCATTATCAGGAGAGCTGTAAGATAGCAGAAGTTTTTATTTTCTGAAAGAGGCATCGACACTGAATAACAGCTTGCAAGCATGCTTCTGTGCTCACTCCCCCAGGCAGTGATTTTAGACCTCCTGTAATTCAGAGGTGCTGAGTGGAGTCCAGGAGCCATTGCAGGAGAGAAGAAAGGATAATTAGTGAGATTTTTACACTACTGACCACTGAACGGCAGCCACACTAATGGAGCCTGTTCAGCCTCTTGAGTTTGTGCAGGCTGTCTCTGCAAGAGCCATTTATAGCTGATCACATTGCCGCCTGCCTTCACCTTGCAGCTCCTGTACTTCTGTTGTTGCCCTCTCAGGTGTTTATCCAGTTTTTTTCTAAAATTGAATCTCTGTGTACTCTTGGAATGCACCCCCAATCCTAACCCTGCTCATGTAATAGAAGGGGAAATTTAATTCACATGCTCCTTCGGGCCCAAGTGATGTCAGGAGCCTGTGTCAGTTAGAAAAAGCATGCCTTCTGACTCTTTGGATTCTTTTGTTACTCACTTTAAGCCCATGTCCTCTAGCTGTTCCTACACCGGTGGGAATAGTTTCTCCCTATCTATTGCCTTGATCCCTCATGGTTTTGATCACCTATCAAATTTCCTCCCAACCTTCTCCAAGATGAATAATCTCAGGTCCTGCAATTTATCCATGTAAATTTCACCCCAGATCCTTGGAACCGTTCCCATTTAAGCCAGCCTCACCCAGTAAGCAGCAATAACATAGACATTTAGAAGGTTTGGGATTGGAAGCCCAGCTCTCACATTTCCCAGTGGTCAGAAGCAGGAGGTTCTCAACAACTGAGCATTTGTAATCAGGGACTTTTCTTGTCAACTTCCCAGCAAACAGAGCATTGGGGTCACATGCCTGTCCTCTCCCGTTGTCAAACACCAAAGATAGAGGTCTGGACACTTGCCCTCATACCATCTAGTGACCAGCTCCACAATGGCATTAAGAGATTTGGCAGTAAGTCCTTTCCCTCTATCCTCCTACTGTCTAGACTGAATAACGAGAGAGAGACTGTTCCACTGGCAGAGGACATAGACTTAGGGTAATGAGCACAGAAGCAATGGCAACATGAGGAAAAACTTACTGATTTCAGTGAGCAGTTACAATCTGTAATGTGCACTGCCTGAGAATGCGGTGGAGGTAGTTTCAAATTGATGGCTTTCAAAAAGAGAATTGAATCATTACCTGAAGAGAAAGCATTTGCAGGAAAATTGGGTAATGTGGAGAGGAAGTGGACGAGTTGCTCTTCCAGAGAGCTGGTGTGGATGTGACAGGCCGAATGGCCTCCGACTGCGTTGCAATGCTAGAGCTCTGTCTACATGTGATGCAGGAACATTTCACAAGAACGTACGGGTAAATGAATGAAACAACCAGAAATTCAAAATGAAGAAAAGGTGCATCTACAAGTTTGACATGGCCCCCATTAAAACAGGACTTCCAGTTTAAATTCATTCACTCATTTGCTGCAAATGCTGGAGGGAAGGGAAACAGAGTTAACATTTCGAGTCCGGTTTGATTCCTCAGAAGTTATTTGTTAAGCTATCTGACATTGTCAGATCAACCTCACTCTGTTACATCAACAGCTATTACAGTTACATTAATTTCAGGAGAGGATTAAAATGAGCTGAATTTAACGCCCCTATTTCCAAATGTCAACGAGTGAGTGTTCTTCCCAGAGTTTCTGGCCGTGCTAAACGATCCCTGAACAAGCTGCACGCTGTGTTTCTGTGCAGATTTACAAAGCCCTTTATTAAAACATTACATGCCTTTGTGTTTTTATTTTCTCTTTTGGAGAAGATGTCAATTATTATTTGTCCCAAAACACAACAGAAATTGAATCCTGTGTCAACACTTCCCCACAGGCATGTTTCTTAAAGAGAGAACTGAAGTAATTACTTTTGCCAAGTACCCTCCACCAGAAATAGTACTAAAATTCTCTCACCTCAGACGTTGTAATATTACCCCCTTAACCTCGAGAATGCTTCATATGCTGTAAGGAACAAAAGACCCCAAAATTGGAGGACACAGCTGATACTGTGCAAGGATTAAACTTGTTCTTGAGGCCCTCGGTTTGAATTCTGTTCAGTGTAACATTTAA